CTCATAACGTAGTAAGCATTTAGTTAGTCTTTCAATAACCCCCAACCGATTCTCTCTCTCTCTCTCCCTCCCTCCCTCTCTCTCTCTCTCTCTCTCTCTCTCTTTCTCTTAATGCAGAGGAAATCAGGAAGAAGAATGGTGTGGTCCTCATACATTGCATGGCAGGTATATCCCGCTCTGTCACACTCACTATAGCTTACCTAATGGCACACTTTGGTATGTCAATGCAAGACGCTTATCAATTCGTGAAGGACAAGCGACCAGCAATATCACCAAACCTCAACTTCATGGGACAGCTTGTTGAATTTGAGAGAGAACTCCAAAAGAACCCGTCACCCACGACCCTCGACATAAAGCTTTTTGGGCCGAGCGAAGAGCAGAGAAAAAAATCAGTGAAACTGATGGAGACTATTATTCGTACCAATAGCTTCACTAACCTACCACCTCCTGGTGAGTCTTCACCGAGATCAAAGGAAGAAGGTGGGAATACAGAGAACAGTGCAACCACTGCTGGGCCTACACCATCAACCAGTCAGACTCCATTTGTACTTAAACCCCTCTCTTCCTCAAAGAGCAAGAGGACTAAGAAGTACAGGGAGAGTCTGGAAGTGCAGCAAGAGGTTGCAGAGAGTGTTGCTCAATCGTCTGGCAGGAGTAACAATAACAATACAGTTACTAATAGTAATGGCGATACTGTAACAAGTAATAGTGTACCAGCCCCTACCTCTGATCTCTCTTCCAATATCTCTTCTTTACACATTTCTTCAAACCAGCATTCATCTTCCCATCCATTTCCATCAAATAAAGAAGACACCACGTCTGCTAGCACTGGAGGGCTGCCCACTAAAGGTGAGCTTACGGTTAAAGGTGAAAAGGCTAGTTTGCACGAAAGGTCAGTTACTCCGCCAAATCGTTGCTCTCCAGAGAAAATGGAGGACAAGTCACCGAGTCCAGTAGTGTCGTGATTTCACAAAACGAAAAAGAACAACTCTTATGTTAGATTGTATGTCCATTTACACAGCAAGTATTTACAATCATTTATTCTGTTCTGTCTCGTTTTCTTGTTGATTTGCCTTTTTTTGTTTTAATTGACTAATCTTTTGCATTTATTTCATTTAGATCTAGCTTAACATATAAAAAGCAGGTCAACCATTCACTAATTTTTGTATAAAAAGTACTTGATATTTTTATTTATCGCGGAATTCGGCGACACACCTCCGGAAGTACTTCGGTACGCCTTCTTTTCCGCCCCATTTCAGTTCGGGAGCAGTCATTTTAGCCAGTAAATATTTTTAGCTAGGAGAAAGGGGCCGCTTCAGTTATTCCGACTGTTTGTTTGTTTAGCATTGTTATAGCTCGAGCAGCTCTGTATCCATCCAACTCCGTTTTTTGGGGTAGCTGAAGAAGATTACCTCCAAGCATAGGTATGTATTGTATATGATTTCTCTCAGCCTATAAAGATAGTAATATCAATCATAATGTCTTTGCACATGGCGCCAGATTTTTTTGTGACCAGGGGCTCTTTAGTATCTGCATGAAGAGACTCTCGATTTATATGCATTATGTTGAGTGTGGATTTTACATAAAGTAAAATCTGCATGTAGCTATTAATGTATACAATGTATTATGCAATATGTATTATGCAATATGTATTGGAAACAGGGTGTGTTAGTATGTTTTCAATTCCTATCATATTTTGTACTTGAGGATGCATGGCTGTATGCATGTGTGCATGCTCCATGTTCCTTCTGCTACCTATAAAAGGTCACATTATAATAAATAGTAAAGTTTGTATGCATCATGTGTATACATTTGGACTATATTTGGAAGATTATTGTGCTCTCTCCATGAGGCGTTTAATAGCATTCATGGAGATGAGGAACGTGTGATTGTGATGGTTTTGTCCTGATGTGAGTGAGATTAGCTGTGATAATGCCAGTGTAGAGTATCCTGTTTTCTTAAAGAGAGAGAGAGAGAGAGGAGGGTAGGCTGTCATGATTTAGTGGAATGTTTGATTAGTTTAGCACATTAATGACATACCTTGCTTTATGCATGCTGTGTCTGTATTACACATTTTCTCTTCTTTCCTTCTTAAAATCGCTCTCCTTTTTCCTTCTTAAAATTGCTCTCCTTTTTTTCAGTTTCATAAATTAGTTATAATAAATATGCAAATGGTGTTAGATAATAAAATGGCATGTAATGTACATGTTGAACACATTGCACAGTTATTTATAATATCACCTGATAAAATTGATTATTATTCCAAAAATAAGACTTGCTAAACTTACATAACACTTAATGTTAATTATTATCATTATCATCAGTATTTTTGTTATTACAGAGTAATTTATATTATGGACTAAAATTCATTTTTAAAGCTGCATAGTGTGATAAATGGTTGTCAATCAGACCTTCTGTATCTTTATAGTGTCATAGTAATATGTAGTAACCCAAATGCTAAATGTAAACCAAGTGTTTATACTTGAATACACAACTGTATCTAAACCTAGTCTCCTTATTGTTAGCTGGTGTCTTGTGCAATTTCCAGTTAAACGCAGAGTCATAGTAGACTCATATGACTCCTTTACACACACACACCTCTCTCACTCCCTTCATTGTTGTTGTGTGTACTATGACATTGCTTTGCCTATTAACTGTTCACGTGATATACTACGTGACTGATTACATCAACCTGTAGTATGTTAATGATTGAATATTTCTGTGTTCATGTAACTAACTAATGATGATACAATGTGTACTATGGAAAAGAGACACGACAAGATGGCTACACAATTCTATGTATCGTATAACATGTGTCCTTGAAGAGGTTTCCTCAACATGGCCACAGACATTATGTTGAGGTGGTGGTACATTGAATGATTGTAACGTAACACGATACAATAATATGTACATGTTAATGTACAGTGAGTGGCCTACTGTTAATAGTTATAATGCTACATGTAAATGTTACACAGTGAGTGGCCTACTGTTAATAGTTATAGTGCTACCAGTGAGTGTATATAGTAATTGTGTGGTGAGGATTTTGGTCTTTTAATCTCACCTCATGATAGACAGCAGTATAATGGCTCTGTCCTTATATGTAATGTAGCCTGTGATACTTGTACCAACATTGTAGTAACCACTGGTTGTTTGTGACTGTATAAACATTCACAGTAGTTTTAGTTTATCTTTCTCTGCCTTATAAGGCTAGCTCTTGAGGCTCTCCTTAAATAAATTAATTGTAGTAATTGTGATATCTTTTGTTTGTTAATTAATTTCACATTTTTTATAATGCAGTCTTGTGCCTGCAAACTCAGAGCTCATGATTATTAGGATCACGTATCATTCTTGCAATACAGTAGTGCATGTCTTGTGATGCATTCCTTCAATTGTAGTTCATTTGTTAGCAGTATTGTCATGTATAACAGTTTCTCATTGACTCGTACAATGTGCTATAGTATGTATTTCTACAATTTGTTGTTGTGCTCATGATTCAGCCTGCATACCATTTCATTGAGTTTAGCTGATATGTGTTTTGTCGTAGTGTTTTAATGCTAATATGATGAGTATGACCTCTCTCTCTCTCTCTCTCTCTCTCTCTCTCTCTCTCTAGTATGAGTGATTCAGATGGTGAATCTTATGAAGTTATTGATGGAAGGTTATCTCCCTCAGTAAGAGGACGTGGCATTCAAAACAAAAGACACATAATGTCACGTGATCAAAGGAAGTCTTCCTCTCGTTCCCCTGCCCCCCGGGTTGGCGATATTGATTTCAGACCCCCTTATCCGACCCCCAAGTCCCAGTCCCTTCGTTCCTCCAGCTCACTCTCAACCAGTGCCTCCTCACAGTTAACTTATGATCGGATTACACTCTCTCCTGTTGTCCCTGACTACGAGACTACCTCATCTTCTTGTTCCCCTCCTCCTCTTCCTCTTTCCTCCTCACTCTCTAATGGACACGGCTCGCTTCCTGATACTCCTCCTCCCCTACCTCCTTTAAACTCGAGTCAGAAGTGGAAGTATAACAGGTACAGTTTGAATTGTAGATATGGTAGTTTGGGAATTCTTTTATCAAAATATTGTTTTACTTCTTTCATTTGTTGTTTGCGATAAAAAGCATCTCCAAAATACACTTGATAAATGGAATAATTGTGTTTGTTTGGATTTGGGAAATTGCTTTTTATTCTTTTAATTAATACTGCATTGATAATTAATGAGTTTCACGTACATGTACATGTAGGATGTACATGTACATGTACATTTAGTGGTAATATTAATATTAAAAGATGTGATGTTATTTTGCCACAGATGTCATGCTTTGATAATGAGCTTTGATAGTCAGATTAATCACAAAGAGGTCATGATTAGAGTCTTCATTGGAACTCTTATAGTTTAACCAAGAGCTTCCTTAGTCTCTTTGTTCTCCTGTTTGTAGTGGTCCATGGCATTCAGACACAAAGCAATAGTGGTAATTCATACCAACCAGCCTGTATCAAAGGGCATCCCTTGGGTCTATGATGATATAATAATAATGCTGGCTTTAATGACCCATGTATTTTTACTATAATTAGAGTTAATTTGCTATCCTTTATATCGATCCCTGAGTGTATGTGTGTGTGTGAGGTGTGTTGTGTATGACTGTGTTTACATTCTTGAGTCAATTGCTGTAATGTGTAGAGTATAGAGAGTGTGTGTTGGTGTATATTAGCAATGCTTTTGCCACTACTGAGCACCAATAGGTTGATTATAAGCAATACATAGCCAAGTGCATTTCTCACTTGTTGCAAGAAGTGTTAAAAAGCGATAAAAGCTAATTAATGATAGTGTTGATTTGCACTATACCACCCAAAGCCAAATTTTATTGTTATGTCATTGCTTTATAATAATGATTCATTGTATATGTACATATGACATTATATTTTATTATTATTTTAGGTCAAACAGTGAATCTGCTGATGTCAATTTAAGTCAGACTCCTCCTCATTCTCTCTTGCAAACTAGAATGAATGGACACACCTCCTCCTCCTCCTCCTTCTCCTCTACCAAACACAATCGCTCAAACTCAAATGATTTCGATTCAGTGAGCGCCACCAATCCAACATATAGCCGTCCAACATCTTCAAAAGCTCGTTCATATTCTGTTGACTCGCTGCCTGTTGGACGGGCTGTGCCCTCTGAGTCCTCCTCTGGGTATGTGAGGGACTCTCCCGTAATGCCTCTCGCTAGTCTCGCCACTAGTTACAAGAAGGACCTTCCATTTCAGGTTGTTGTTACTAAAGGTTTTTACGGTGCGGACGAGCGTACGTCAATATCTGATGGAGACATGTTTAATATTCATTTCTTCAAGCAGACCAAAGTTGTAAAGATATCGGACTCAAACAAGTACTCGTATACCATCCCACTCAACTCTTCCCTTGAGTTTGGTATGATATACACGCTCCCTCCTGGCTTCAAGCAGTCCAATCCAAAGTATCATTTTAAGACTGTCGGTGAAGTGCTTCAACTGAAGAACCTCCCTAAAGTGATGCGTGCAACTGCCTCTTATAAAGGATCGGGCCCTGAGAGCTCAGTGGAACAGAATGATCTGCTGGTGCTGAAGGAGGTGAAGCAGAAACGTGGGTTGAAGACCACTCGAGTATTAAAGTGTATTCATACTGGGAGCGGAGCTAAAAAGACCCTCTCTGAGGACTGTGCTGGGTGCTTTACTGTCCGCCCTCAGGACCTCCGTCTCTTTCTACCCGAGATAGTCGAGCATATCGATCTGCCCCAGTCGGCCATTTTGTTTTATGGAGGTGGTAACAGACTTGATCTTCCGCCCCACCTCATATCAAGTGAAGTAAAGATACTGACGATGGAGATAGAAGAGTCCATTGTTGCTACTAGTATACTTGAAGAGGACGAGGCCCAGTCTCTCAGACATTATGAAAACACTCCCTCCATCCCACTGGTTGACATACCCATTGACCTCGACATTGAAGTGGCCATCATTAAACTAGCTGACATGGACACTGATAACTTGTACTCTGAGACCCGCTCACTCCTCGAGAAATACAACCCAAGCCAAGTCTCCTACCTCAACATCAAGAGCAGCGTCACTGCTAGCGCTCAGACGACTCTCTTTAAAGCCGTTCGTCAGGATCAGTTCCAGCAGATTGGGATTGAAATCATACGACCTGAGAATGCTTTCAAGACAAGGTCTGACGTGTCTCTCAACCGGCTTTCAAACGGGTCGGACTCGTCAAGACGTCAGCTCTACACTCCGTCAGAGTGTGCTAATGCTGAGGAAGTACATAGTCGGCTTGAGCTACTGGAGTCCAATTCAACAGGTTTAGAGAACAGGCTGAACATGTTTGAGCTAAAGATGCAGAGCGTGGAGAGGGAAAGGCCCGACCACGAGGGACTCAAGAAGGAACTCATCGCAACAAAGTCTGAAGTCTCGAAAATGAGACGAGACTATGATGACCTAAAGAAAACTATAGGAGGTAAGACAAACCTCAGTACTGTAGTAGTAGTAGTAATAATAATAATATTATTAATTTTATTTTTTTTGCTACAGATGTAAAGGATCACGTGTCAAAGTTCACCTCCACTATGGAGAAGCTTGCTCGTGTTGTTGATAATTTACAGAAAGAGTTCAGGAAGAGTCAATTGGAGAAGGAGCTGGCAAATAAGCCAGCTGGATCTTACATAACAATGTTTCCAGCTAGTAAGTTTTAAATAACTATTAAAAATTTTATTTATGTGCCTCTCTCTCTCTCCTTTTTAAGGTGAAAGCCCTACTCATAATGGCACTGGCATGAATGGCCCTATACCTAATGGCCCTGTATCAACCAATGGGACTGCTAGCAATGGAATGAATGGTACCCAATCGACTGAAGAGATTGAAAGGAACAATAAGCAGTTCTTAATGCAAATGGATCCCGTTGAAGTAAGAATAATAATAATAATAATAATAATAATAACCTTTATATTCATGATTATTTTCATTAATTTGCAATTAGTATTTTTAGCTTTTATTAACTTTTTATAGTTATATTATTTGATATAATTTCTTCTTAAAATAGGTTTGCCAGCTACTGGACTGTATGAAGTTAGGTGTATACAAGGATAGTTTCACAAAGGAGCAGATAACAGGCGAGATACTCTCCGATCTGAACGCCGAGGATCTTCGCGATGAACTAGGAGTGTCCTCTAAGATACACAGAATGAAACTAATGAAAGTCATAACAGGTAAATCATCACTTTTCATACAACCTAAATAATTTATAAAATTCATATTATTAATTTAATTTTAATAAATGTACTCTTGGTGCTACATGTACACGTACATATACAAATTTTTGTGCCAAATGATCGAAATCGGCTGCAATGAAAGTCCATATTTGTTGCATTTTGTGTTACATGTACATATTAATGCCATATTATTTCATCATTATGATTTTCTACAGGTCGACACTCGGCTTCAAGTGTCTTAAATGGCGAAGATCCTTACTATGTTCACCTGGGACAGTCTAATAATTAAAATATATTATTTTGGAGTTGTTATTATAAATAAATTATCATTGTTTTGGTTGTGAACTCTTTATTTTTGATACACTATAATCATAGATTTTGGGAACTAAATATTTATTATGATGCATTGATTTTCTAATGCATTGTGTTCTGTAAATTTTATTTCAAATGGAGTGAAAAAATAAAACACAAATTCATGTCACGTCCATTCTATAGTGCAGGCTACATACTACATTGCTGCTAATCGATATAGTAGTTAAACCATTGGTCACACTTATGCATATTGATGTCCTTAAGCTATGTAGAAAATTCCAACTTCAATTTTTCAAGTTATGGCCATTTTTAAAAACTAGCCAATTTCTGAAAAATTTCCTGTACTATAGCCCATGGTTTTTTCGAAAAAATGGCTCCAAAATCACCTCAAATTTTTATTACATTTTCTGATACATATTGATGTCCTTATGCTGTGTAGAAAGTTTGAGCTGATTCCAACTTCAATTTTTCAAGTTATGGCCATTTTTAAAAACTAGCCAATTTCTGAAAAATTCCCTGTACTATAGCCCATGGTTTCTTTCAAAAAATGGCTCCAAAATCACCCCAAATTTTTATTACATTTTCTGATACATATTGATGTCCTTATGCTGTGTAAAAAGTTTGAGCTGATTCCAACTTCAATTTTTCAAGTTGTGGCCATTTTTAAAAACTAGCCAATTTCTGAAAAATTCCCTGTACTATAGCCCATGGTTTTTTTCAAAAAATGGCTCCAAAATCACCCCAAATTTTTATTACATTTTTTTGATGCATATTGATGTCCTTATGCTGTGTAGAAAGTTTGAGCTGATTCCGACAAATAATTGAGCATACTTTAAGATTTTATTGTAGTGCAATACACCACTAAAACTATTAAAGTCAATAATGAATTTTACAATGACACAATTAAGTACACTGGGTGTGATTTTGTTGTCAAGAAAGAGAGAGAAAGAGAATTAAAGAAAGAAATCAATAAAACAGGCAATAAAAAAAATAAAGAAATAATACTCCATAAAATCTATGCAACATTCAAAATACTCATTACTCAGTCTTGAGTAGGTCAACAACGGATTGTTTCCCAGTTACTAGTCGCATTATCTTAATCCTGTGAATCTTTGATTTCACTTTAAGCTCATTCTCTAATATCTCCTCATCCAAATCAATAAATATTGTCCCGTTTATAGTTTCATTTCTAAATGTTTCTTTATACTGACCAAGCCCAAGTTTGTCCAGTACAATCAAAAGCTAAACAATGGGAGAGAGAGAGAGAGAGAGAGAGAGAGAGAGGAGAAAGGGGAAATCAAAGAAGGAAATTGAAGTGTTATATCAGTCATGCTCAAAATGATATTGTCAACATGCACTCAATAGCATGTTTATTGTGAGGTTGAAATATTTTTGAACATCTTTGGGTTTGTTTTTAATAACATCATTTAATGCAAAAGCCATATTGGAGTATCTCGATTACTACATCCAGTGATTAATTCAATCCTCTAACAATTAGACTACCTACTTCTGTTGTTTAGATGCTAAGTGAATTATTATAAATATTTGGAGGGGGGAAGTTGTATTAATTTGCGTGTGTTCTTGTTTGTTCTATATGAGTGGTTCACTGAGTGGTGTGTTTCTATCTAAACAAGGACATTAGCTTAAGTTCGCATTGTATTCATGTCAAACTGAATGTATGCATAGCTAAATATATTGTTTAAGGCGTATTGTGTATGCAAGTGTACATGACTTGTGTATACTTTTATTGTGTATGTTAGTGTAGGAGTGTCTATAAAACAAGCTTGTGTTTGTGTGTGTCCATTGAGAGTAGAAGTTGCAAACTATTAGTAATAGAGTCCAGTATTGTTATTACTCTAGCTTTCAATGCATTTTATCATCACATGATCTACTCTCATAGCTACTAGCATATGCTCTAGTACTAGCAACATAATCAGAGCATAGCGGACGTGTTACTTAGTGATTAGAGTAAGACTGGCACCAGAAAATATGTACTACATCCAACATGATAGGCTATAATAGTAATAGCTAACTAGTCTTTACCTCTTCACAAGTACATTTTGATGCTGCTGTTCTGTTAGCATCAGTGACACTGACATCATATAAACTTGCTGTAGGATCGGGAGCAGTATTAGTAGGGACACCACTCTTTGTTTCTATTATTAGTATAAAACAGACATTAATCATCTATATCATCAGTTCATCTCACCTTTTAACTCTTGTATGTGCGATGTGAGTTGGTTGTTGGTTGTCTCTAACTCTGTTAGCTTTTGTCTGAGTAGCTCGAGCTCTCTTGTCCTCTCAACTGAGAGTTTAACATACTGATAGGGAGCTTCATGGACCAGTGATCCACTCCCAGTCTCTTTAGCTATCATGTATGGGATTGGGTCCATTTGAAGATTTGTGGTTGCCTTTGGTATTGGTATTGAAGTATTCTGGTTTTTCAGAGGAGGAATAAGAGGAGGAGGGAGTGGTTGGTTTATTGCTCTAGTTGGTACTGGCATTGGTGGTCTCCCATCAATAAACTCATAGGCATCTGCATCAAGGTCATCATCATCATCATCACCGTAATCATTAGTACTGCTCTGATTATTAGTTCTTAATGGCTTTAGTGATGGTTTCCTTGTTGGAGGTGCTGACATAGGAAGATGTCTCGGTATGGGTAGAGGTAGTTTCCCAATAGATGAGGGAGGAGGAGGAGTGAGACTTCTCTCCATACTCATCTCGAGATAATCGTCAGCGTCTTCTTGATTTATTGAAAAGGAAGAGCTCGGTGGCTGAGGAGGGAAAATATCAACTCCGTACATCCAGGTGTCGTCCTCAGGCACGACTTTAAACAGCATCGACTGTATGTAGTTCATGGACGAGTTCGAGTCCACTATTACCTTGTCTAGCTTTGACGGATGGAAAGACTTGTAAAAAGGTTGTGTCTCTGTTCGTAATAGATGCAGCTGTTGTTCTGATGATTTGACGAGATGGGCTTCAATCGGTACGCTGAGTAGTATCTCAATGGTTTCTCTCCTGTTCCCGTATGCTGTGGACACAACAACAGATCTCTCCTTCTTTTGGTCAGTGATGGTGTAAGACCCAACTGTCGTGTGAAGCGGCAATTGTATTTTTTGGTGCTTTGAGTTCTCAAGTGTCACGCAAATCGGCAACTTTACGTGATCAATGAAATCCGAGAGTTTTAATTTTAGCATCGACGTAGCCGTAGTGAATTCTCCAACTATATTCTCATCAAGAAAGACTTCACTCTTATTGCTTAGCATGTAACACTTCAACTTTCTTTGCCCATCCTGTCCTTCCCGAACTCCTTTCACTATCAATATGTGCCCCTCCATTATCAAGAGAATGTTACCATTTGCTTCACACTGGAACGCCTTCATGACAGCAACCGCCTGAGGCATGTCCGTGGCATCCATTATATCAGAGACCTTGGGAAACTTGTACCCTTTCTTCCCTGTCTCGATCTTATTCTGAGGATTGTGCAATATGCTGAAGAGAAGTGCTGAGTTGAGTGGGACTACGTATTCTGCTCCCTGGTTAGCTTTGGCTAGGACAACCTTGGTCTCTTTCTCAAATAGAACACTCAGAAGTTGTCCCTCCATTAGTGAGCTCTCTTCACAGACCCCGTACAAGGAATCACTGACACAGAACCTCAAAGGTAGGAGAGGGCCATACTCGTCTATCAATTCATTCATTGGCATAGACGCAGAGTCTATGTCCTTGTGATCAACAATTTCGTACACTCCGGATTGGGCAAGAGACTGCCCAACGTCAGACGAGGGACTCTCGTTGTATCGTAGTACAGAGTTACCCACTGGTAGGAAAAAGGCTCTTGGGTCACTTCCACCCACGGGGAGGGTCTCAACTAGTGTTTGTTGGAGATGGGCTGGTTTAAAAGGACGTGGAGGAGCATTTGATGGTTCGTTCGGTTGTGCTGATGGCGAGAGTTCTCTTTCCTCTGATCTTGATCTCTGGAGTTGGTTTCCCATGACTAGTGGTTATAGGAACCTACAGAATGTTTTTAACTAATGTCTGAGTTGTTTACAAACCAGCAATGCCATCATTATTTACTATGCATAAACTTGAACTGCTGGTTACACACATAATAAGTGTATAATTTAGCAGAGTACAATGTCACTATAATACAATGGTATGAAGTTAAATATGTTGTAGGGCATCTTATACTAAGAAATATGCTAATATGCAATATGCTTTGATTATATTATTGAATATAAGCCGTTACTAGATCTATTGAACTGTGCAATGTGAGGTCAGTCACATGCTTACACACTGTAGTAAAACTATTCAAAAGATAAAGAGTATTATTGTTACAGGTACATAGCTGGGGTACCACCCTCTGATTTCATAGGGAGACACTGTTGCTGTTTTCAATAGTTTGTACAAGAGGTACACACAGCACCCAGTATAGGAGCTTGTGAAAAGTGTATCTGCGGTCTGCCATGTATCTCCCTTGTCTCTAAACAAACCTCTGCCTTTGTACAATTTACGTTAAGTTTACACCTAATCTACTGCTCGCGGGACAACAACAAACACTATGATAACGACTTACAAGGTTTCTTTGTTGAGTGAGTGAAGAAGGACGAGGGCCAGTGGTTCTATTTCACTTCAAAAGTGCAGCAAACAGCTCTCCTTCCTGCAACTAACGATGCAGTTTGCAGAGAATATCAGCGAGTGAAGTGGCCCGCCCCTATTATTGTTATCTTATCTTCCTGGCTATAATAATAGCTAATATACGGTAGAAAGGCTATAGATGTTTTACAAAATAAAGAAAATATTGAATGAATTCACACCAGTGTTCTTTCTTCATTATTTTTCATAATGTCTAGCACATGTTGATTTCCTCTTGCAACATGCATTAGCCTTTTACGATGAAGAAAAGAGCTTACTCCAAGCTCAATTTCTAATACAATTTCATCTAACTCTAAAAATATTTTGCCATTGACCTTCTCCTTGGCAAATGCACTGACATATTGTGGTAAATCCATTTTACAGAGAAGAGATTGGACCTACATACAGTAATTATGATCATTATTTTACAATAAATTTAGCATTGCATGTCTTACTTCTGTGCAGTCATATTTGGCTATGATATCTAAACTGTTCTTTCGGTTTTTCATCATTTTAGATCCTTCTACAATAAATTAATAATACATTTATTCAGTAGCAGCATTTTAATCTTACTTGAATTTGATTCCATGAGTTCCTGAAGCTGATGGTTGAGTGCTATGTTTTCTCTTCGTAACTTTTTATTTGTTTCTTGGAGTAAAATGTTACTTTCCTCGAGCATTTTTATTTGTTTGGTCAGATTATAAATCCTACACTCACTCTCTACACTAGTAGTACTGCTGACCATGCTAAGATATTCATCGTCATCATTTTCTACAATTCTTTTATTTTTTGGTGGAAGTGGAGGTGGTTTTGGAGGACCAAAATCAATGAATTCATGATGAGACTTTCTGCTTGATGATCTACGTACAGGGGGTCTTCTTCCTTTAGGTGGTTGCTGCAGCTCTCGCTCCTCATCAATGCTACCAATACTCCTAATGCTCCTTTCATCAAAGCTCTTAATACTCCTCTCATCGATGCTTTTTAAGCTTTTCTCATCTCCCAGTGACTCTTTGCTGTTGACTGGTCGTAGTACTTTACCAAATTGAAGTGAGACAGGGGATGAACAGTGAGATGAGGGGCTCCCACTTTCCATTATTAATGGAAAGTCCCCAACCATTCTGAGTGGTACTGTGACCTGTCTGGAATTGAGTGTTGCCTCGATAGCAATGTCACTGACTCTATCAACTCCTCTGGCACCGGGAGATCTAAGTCCTGCTGCTGCAATGGAAGCCATTAGGCCCTTGTCTCTTTATAAAGCAAATATTCACAGACTGATGCTGCAGAATGAGCTAGTATTGACAGAAGTAGCCTAACTGTCAGCTTGCAGTTATTACGCTCTAGTATCACGTTTACAGTCAAAACTTGTGGGAGTAATCTATTATACCACACATCAAAAATATACACATGATATACTAATAATATTATCACAAACTACAAACAAAAAGCACAATAATCAGTATCGAGTATTAAAATAGTTATTTCTTGTAGCACTTTACATAAGGGTCACGTTCTAGGTATGTTCTTGCCGAGACCTTTCCCTTGATGACATTGAGTAGCTTGATTCTGTGAAGCTTAGAACCGATCCCAATCTCATTAAGAGTCACGTCATCAAGAGTACAGAGAATGGATCCATCAATGCGCTCTCTCATAAAGTTATTAGCATAGTCTTGCAAGTGCATCTCTTTCAGCAAAAACTGAACCTACAAAGATATATTATGTAAATGTGGAGAGAAAGAGGCTTTGGAACAATTTTGAAGCAACTTTAAAATTCATAACACATTCAAATTGTGATTGAAATCAACTCAAACTTTCTACAATACATAAGAATGTAAGCTATTACTTGTTCAGTGGTGAGAGAATGCAGTAGTTTTCTGTTAGTTTCTGGATTTTCCTCTATTTTGCTTGTATCAGGGGCAGAAGCTGACCTTGATGATGATCTCCCCATTAACATACTTACATCCTCACCCAATTGATCTATATAGCAATGAAAAAAAGTGGCTCAAATAAATAACAATTTTTCATTTCTTGGGAAAAACAATATAAAAGCTTTCAGAATGATCATTACTAAAAATGTAAGCTTTGCTAACATGCATACCAACTAACCTAGTCTTAATCGGAGACTCTCAACAGTTTTCTCAAGTATGGTAACAGTTGAACGAAGTGCTATATTCTCCGTTTTGAGAAGATCAATTTGAGACTTCAAACTATTCTGATCAGGTCCTTTCATTTCGTTCCTAAGCAGAGCAGCGCGTGGGACATCATACTCAGACTCTGGGTCTAGTGGAACTGATGCTGCTGCTGGCGGAATTGGAGCTGGAAGAGGAAATGAAGTTGTAGGAAGTCCTGTGCGTAGAGCCGGAGCTTGATTCATTGATAGTGGGGTTGGAGGAAGGGAAGCTAAAGCTGCCTGAGGTATGTCATACACAGATTCAGGGGACTGCGGCCTGGGATCAGGCTGTGGCATTATTTTATCGGATAAATTTGAGGGTGACTTTACCATTCTATCGGATAAATTTGAGGGTGACTTCACCATTTTATCGGATAAATTTGAGGGTGACTTCACTATGCTGCTTTTCCTGCCCTGCAAGCTTTGCGGTAGTTTCAACGTAATGCCACTGGAAGATGGAGAGCTAGTGTGAGCGATTAGGGAAGCAAAGAGCTTTTGTTTCTGAAGCTGATAAGGTGTTTCTGAAGATAAGAGGGAAACACTGTCAATGTTTGCTATCATGAATGAATTGTATAAGCTTAATGTTTTATCTTCCAGTGCAGACTTTAACGGTGGGTTGCTTGGTAATATTTCAACCTTAATGCTTGAATCTAGCGGTAGCTCCAGAAGCTTGCTGTCGTCTGATATCCTCGTGACAACAAGGCTGTCTACGTTTTGTTGCTCCTGTATGGTGACTACCCCTCCTGGCAATTGATTGGTGATCTCATGAGCATTAGGGCCATCATAATACAATAGGCAATTGAGGGGAAGAGTGAGGTATTGTAATATTTCATTGAGACACAGCCTGACGTCCACTGGTGCAGTCGAGAAGTTTCCCGTACAATTCTCCAGTAGTTTCTTTGTCTCACCGGTCTGGATGACCGTACAGGTTAAATTCTTTCCTCGAAAACGATGCTTCCCGATTTCTTTAACAGCAAGTATCTCGCCTGTCTGAATGCTTGACTCTGCAGTGCTTGTATCATAGGTGCTCTGAACATATACAAGAGGCGGCAAAAATGCCGTTGACATTATCTCGTACACTGTAGTGAACCCGTACCCATGTATTGCACTTTGCTGCTGGTTAGCTGGATCATAGATGGCACCAAACTTAATGGCAGAGTTTACTGGGACAGTGATATTGGTTCCTGTGGTGGTAGTCATCTGGACAGCTTTGCTTGTCTTTATAAAGTGAATGTTGAACTGCTCTCCTTTTGATATCACTTCATTCTCTCCCACTACTTGTATTTGAAGAGGGAATGACTGTTGATGGCTTTGCACCAGCTCCTGTAGTGTAAGAGACCGCTGTAATGTCGAAGACAATGGTCCTCTCGTGAGCAAGGATTTGCCTGACGATATTGAGCTACGATTCGATAGAATCTCTGGAGGTGGAGTAGGCACAAAGCTTTGGTCATTTGAACTGATTATAGGTTTCTTGAGAAAAGTATCATGTGCTACCGGCTTTGTATTCATTGGCGGCAAAGGTGGTGGAGCTCCGGCTGTAGAAGACAAATATAATGCCATTTCCTCCTTGACTGACTCAATGTCATCGTAAGCATCATCCACAAGATCATCAGGATCATAGTCAGGCACTGGAGGCTGTGCATAGGACTGAGGCTGTATTGGGATAGGAGGACGCTGCATGTGTTGAAAAGGGTTATGAACTGGTGGCTGGTGCTGCATTGGAGGAGGGGTAGCTGGTACTGGGGGACTAGCTGGTATTGGGGGACTAGCTGGTATTGGGGGACGTATCAACTGATTAGAGAATTCAGTAACAGAGTATGAGCCAGTGGCTGGAAGTGATGCTTTTGTTGGTCTATTAATTGTTTGACTCCTCTGCTTTAATATGTCTACTTGCTTTGACACTGAGTTAGTAATGACAGAATCATCAACACTGCTCCTTGGCCCTGGCTTGTTCTTAACTGGTTTTGGGGCCACTGGTTTTGGGCCTGTTTTAGGACCCCCAGTTGGTTTGGGTAAAGTGAACTGAGGAGCTGTAGATGAAGGAGCAATATTAGAAGTACTTGGCTTCAGAGAGAATGCAAAGTTTTGTTGCTGACTCCCAAAGGATGGGTTTGCTGGTTTAGGAGAAGCACTTGGAGGAGAACTAGATACACTTTCACGATTGCCAGTCTTCCTGAGAGTGGCAGCTCGAGCTTGAAGCATTGATGCATCCATTAGTAACTAAGGAGTGAAGATACACAAAGAGATCACAGTTGACCTGTCTTGTCTACAATAGTCCTCCGTATGAGAGTGACTGTGGGCTGACTATTATCAAAAAGAAAACAGGATCTTGTATGCATACGCCACCGCACACTTTCAACATCAATTGGGAAAGCAAACAACATCTACTTAAGGACTAGGTACACTGCATTGGACCACACTATTAAAAACATGCAACAGACAGTTTAGCAAACACGAGAGTCCATTTGTAATAAAACCATAACTGAAAAGTGTCAGAAGCAAGTAACAATACAAAAACATGTACATACACATAGAGAACACAGTTGCTATATAATTACGGATGAGTCATTTGACCCATAACTGTTAAAGCATTAAAATAAACTATGATTTAACGACCATTTTTACGTATGGTCCTTCCCCGTTGAGGTAGCCTTGAGCTGAATGCTCTCCGCTTATTAGTTTCAATATTCTTAGTCGGTGCAGTTTACTGGACACATCCAACTCTTTCTCTAATATGTCCTCATTCAACTCAAGAAGGAGCTCCCCTGATATCTGCTCTGCCTTAAATGCTTCGGAATATTTGGAGAGATTCATTACTTGCAATAAATCTGTTATCTATATTCAATAA